TCGATTTTAAATACCGTTTACTTGAGAATAATCAATTTTGAGCGCACACAAAGGACCTTAACGATCTCTTCTACTTGCGTAGCCTTACCTTTTCTAGCGAGTAGTTCTGCCCCGTCATTGTTCATATTTTAATTCTCCTGCAATTTTTTGCGTTCGTACGCTATTCGCCGGATACGAGTTGTTTTCAAATCCTCGTGCACACAAATATCTTAAGAGTGCGTTTCAGCTGGGTGTTTATTTCTTTTATTTAATTTATTCGAGTGTCTGCTTACTGGACAATTAATTCAGCTAAAAGGTGGATGGAAGAGGAAGAAGGGTTGTCGAGCACCGGATCAATTTGTGCATTGTTCTGAACTTTCGGGCTCTTGCGGGAGTCCATCGTCAGAGATAAAAAGATCGACGAATAAACAAATTGATCCGGTGCTCGACAACCCTTCTTTCCTTTCCATGCAAATACCTGGAACGCGAACGTTTTCAGTCATTCCTGCAAAGAACGCTTATCTGACGCAAATTCCCCTTCAGATTAATGAAAATCTGAAAAGTTTTGCTCCGCGAGTAACACCTAACTATCCTCATAGTCGCTATGTGACTGCCCCCGCGGGCTCTAATTGTGAGCTCCAGGGCGAAACGGAACTTAATAGTTCCACTATATTCACCATATTCTAGATCCCAGTCGACAAAGCAACGCGCCCGTGGTGCAATGATAGAGTGGTTAACTCAACGACCAAAGGTCTTGGGTTCGATTCTCGGGGGATCCAACCCTTGAGTTTGGGTATGAGTGGCTGATGACGGCTAACGAGCCAGAAATGGCCATTCCGGTCTCCCTTCGTTTTGTCGGATCCATGCCACCTACCTAGTTGTCTATCGCTATCACACTTTGTAGTAAACCACGTTTCGCATCAAAAAAGCATGACAAGATTTAGACGGCACACAGTTTATGTGCAGGCCGCCATTCAGTCAGATTTTTTCTGATGTCTTGAAATGTCTGCCTACTGGACAGTTACTTTCTTAAACACTTCGCCTACATGGCGCCCACTTTTTTCAGGTCACCTTTCGTTCTGTTAATTGGAAACCAAGTGTTCTACGATATAACTAAATCATCGCGATCACGGTTCGTAGTAAACCGTTTTTCTCAACGATAGTACATAACAAGATTCAGGCGGACACAAAATTGATGTACCGACTTCTTTTCAGTCACTTTTGTTTTCATTTCTTTTATTCAGTTTATTCAAGTGTCTACTTAGTTGACAGTTAAGTTCTCAAAAAAGTCGTTTACCTGACACGTACCTTTATATTTTTAGGTAAATTTCCGCTCTGTCAATATCAAACAAAGTCTGTTACAACACAAGTAGATCTCAATCTCGATAGCAGTTCGTAGTGAACAAGGTTTGTTCGCTCATCCGACCGGTAACGGACGTACACATATTCCTCAAGAATGGTTGGTGGACAACAGATTGCGGGCTTTGAAGTCTTCGGCTGGTCTGTTTCTGGCAACGAGACCTGTATTGGCGTAAAACAGAAGTCGGCCTTCTTCCTGTTTGACGTTGGCATAGTCCCCTCCTGGGCCAAGGCAGCTGAACACGTCTTTATTAGGTTATTCCATTTCCGCTCCCAGTTTATCAGCCACTCAGTCATGGCCATATAGATCACATTGGCGGTATTTGTCAACATATGCGCAAACGCGAACTCAACAGGATGCCCCCAGCGAAGTACTACTTACTGCCTGCTCTGATAGAATCGGTGAAGGCACTGTGTGCTGAGTATGGAAAGATGCAGAGTTCGTCAATGCTGCAGTGTTTTCAGGAGCCGCTTCTAGTTCCAGTGGAATCAGGCTCCACAATTCAGGTAACTAATTGCCCAAAGTCGTTTTTCTGATCATGTGTTTCAATTTATTTGATGTCTTTGAAAATCCTATTAGGCACGTGCCAATGTGCACGCGGGCCGTTGAATATTGCTATTTCTGAAATGATACACAAGTAAATAGCACTGTTGTGTTTAAAAACAAACTGCTGTCTAGAGTTATATATATGTCTTGATGTCTCAGATGTTTTGC